CAAGGTTCAGTTGAAAAAAAATCGCTCTTTCTGTGAGATGGTCAAGTCAATGCTTTTCAAAACACAGAAATTAAGATGAATAAATTACTTTCGCATATGCTTTTTAAAATTTTTATTTTTGTCTTCTTTTATTTATTTCTTGGGACTTCCTTGCTTTGCAGGGGCTTTCTCTAGTTGCAATAAGCCAGGCTTACTCTTTCTTGCTGTGTGCCAGCTTCTCACTGCACTTACTTCTCTTGTTGCAGAACACCCGCTCTAGGCTCCCAGGCTTCAGTAGTTGCATCACTCAGGCTCACACTTAGCTGCAGTGTGAGGGCTCTAGGGCATGCGGTCTTAGCTGCTCTGAGGCATGTGGAATCTTCCCAGACCAGGGATCAAACCCGTATCCCCTGCAATGGCAGGCGGATTCTTATTCACTGTTTCACCCTGGAAGTCCTCTCATATGTTGATAATGTTGTTGTTGTTCAGTTGCTAGTCATATCCAACTCTTTGCAACTCCTTGGACTATAGCACACCAGGCCTCGCTGACCCACATCATCTCCCAGAGTTCACCCAAGTTCATGTCATTGATCGGTGATGCCATCCAACCATCTCATCCTCTGCTGCCCTCTTCTCCTTTTGCCTTCGATCCTTCCCAGCATCAGGTCTTTTCCAATGAGTTGACTCTTCACATCAGGTGGCCAAAGTATTGGAGCTTCAGCTTCCAATGAGTATTCAGGACTGATTTCTCTTAGGATTGACTGGTTTGATTTCCTTGCAGTCCAAAGGATACTCAAGAGTCTTCTTTATCACCACAATTTGAAAGCATCAGTTCTTCGGTGCTCAGCCTTCTTTATCGTACAACTCTCACATCAGTACATGACTACTGGAAAAACCATAGCTTTGACTAGATGGACCTTTATTGGCAAAGTGATGTCTTTGTTTCTTAATACTCTGTCTAGGTCTGTCATAGCATTCCTTCTAAGAGGAAAGTGTCTTCTTATTTCATGGCTGCAGTCACCATCTGCAGTGATTTTGGAGCCCAAGAAGAGAAACTGTATCATTGCTTCCACTTTTTCCCTTTCTATTTGCCATGAAGTGATGGAACCAAATGCAATGATATTAATTTTTTGAATGTTGAGTTTGAAGTCAGCTTTTTCACTTTCCTCCTTCAGCATTCATCAAGAAGCTCTTTAGTTCTTCTTCACTTTCTGCCATTAGAGTGGTGTCTGCATATTGGAGGTTGTTGATATTTCTCCCAGTAATCCTGATTATAGCTTGTGATTCATCCAGCCAGGCAGTTTGCATGATGTACTCTGCATATAAGTTAAATAAACAGGGTGACAATATATATCATACAGCCCTGCATGAAAATGTTCCTTTGATTTCTCTAATCTTCTTGAAGAGATCTCTAGTCTTTCCTATTCTATTGTTTTCCTTATTTCTTTGCATTGTTCACTGAAGAAGGCCTTCTTATCTCTTCTTGCTATTCTCTGGAACTCTGCATTCACTTTGGTATATCCTTCCCTTTCTCCCTTGCTTTTTGTTTCTCTTCTTTTCTCAGCTATTTGTAAAGCTTCCTCAGAAAAGCACTTTGCCTTCTTGCATTTTTTATTCTTTGGGACGGGTTTGTTCACTGTCATATGTACAATATTACAAACCTCTATCCATCGCTCTTCAGGCATTCTGCCTACCAAATCTCATCCGCTGAATATATTGGTCACCTCCACTGTATACTCATAAGGGATTTGATTTAGGTCATACCTGAATGGCCTGATCGTTTCCCCCAATTTCTTTAGTTTAAGCCTGAATTTTGTGATAAGGAGTTGATGATCTGAGCCACAGTTGGCTCCAGGTCTTGTGTTTGCTGACTGTTTAGAGCTTCTCCATCTTCACCTGCAAAGAATGTAATCTATCTGATTTTGGTAATGACCATTTAGTGATGTCCATGTGTAGAGTCCTTTCTTGTGTTGTTGGAAAAGGGTGTTTGCTGTGACCAGTACATTCTCTCAGCAAAACTCTGTTAGCCTTTGCCCTGCTTCATTTTGTACTCTAAGGACAAACTTAACTGTTACTCCAGGTATCTCTCGACACCCTGCTTCTGCATTCCAATCTCCTCTGATGAAAAGGACATCTTTTTTTTTTATATTAGTTCCAGAAGGTCTTGTAAGTCTTCATAGAACTGCTCAACTTCTGCTTCTCCGGCATCAATGGTTGGGGCATAGACTTGGATAACCGTGATATTGAATGGTTTGCCTTGGAAACGAACTGAGATCATTCTGTCATTTTTGAGATTGCATCCAAGTACTACATTTCAGACTCTTCTGTTGACTATGAGGGTTATTCCATTTCTTCTATGGGATTCTTGCCCACAGCAGTAGATATAATGGTCATCTGAATTAAATTAGCCCATTTTGGTCCATTTTAGTTCACTGATTCCTAAAATGTTGGTGTTCACCCTTGCCATTTCCTGCGTGACCATGTCCAATTTACCTTGATTCATGGACTTAACATTCCAGATTCCTATGCTGTATTGTTCTTTATAGCACTGGATTTTACCTTCATCACCAGACACATCCACAACTGAGCATCACTTCCATTGGCCCAGCCACTTCATTCTTTCTGGAGCTGACAGTATCTGCCTTCCACTCTTCTCCAGTAGCACACTGGACACTGTCTGACCTGTGGGGCTCTTCTTCTGTATCATATCTTTTTGCCTTTTTATACTGTCCATGGGGTTCTTATGGCAAGAATACTGGAGGGGTTTGCCATTGCCTCCTCCAATGGACCATGTTTTGTCAGAACTTTCTACTATGACCCGTGTGTCTTGGGTGGCCCTGCATGGCATGGCTCATAGCTTCACTGAGTTATGCAAGCACCTTCACCACAACAAGGCAGTGATCCATGAAGGCTCCCAGGCTTGGTAGTTACATCACTTGGTAGTCCTGGTGTGAGGGCTCTAGGGCATGCGGGCTTCAGTAGTTGAGGCATGCGGGCTTCATTGCTCTAAGGCATGTGTAATCTTCCAGGAGCAGGGATCAAACCCATGTCCCCTGCATTGGCAGGTGTATTTTTATCCACTGTACCGTCAAGGAAGTCCTCTCATATGTTAATAAAGAGTATAATGGAAAAACTTCATGGAACTCTATCACAATTATATTATTACTTTTACTAGAAGATACTGAAGTGGTATAATAAAATCACTTAATTATTTATTTCACAGTATTTAAACTGAGACACAATAGTAGTTACACATGCAAAAGCACCCATTAAACAGTCTCCCATATATTCAGTGACCTTCGTATGACAAAGCTACAGAATTTACATCTGCAACAAGACACATAGGATGGCAGGCCTTCTTTTGAGCTTTTTCACTTTAGCCATGTACGTAGACCCCAAAGTCCACAACATTAGTTTTTGAGATCTGTAGAAAATCTTATTTAAACATATTTCTATAATGTCTGAACATTTGGGTCATAAAGTAGGGAATAGGTGGACTACTAATCAAACTTTGCCTGTGGCTACACATTTCAATCTAGTCCTTCTGTGTTATCAGTGGACAGGACATGCAAGCCTCTGGTTACATCTGTGATTGTCTGTAAAATCTGTTGGTTTGAATTTCTATTGACTTTGCATCCTAGCAAACCAATTCCATTTGCTAGTGCCTTCTGGGCAAAATGCCTGGGTTTTATAAAAAAAAAAACAGATTCCTATTGAAAAGGAAACATAAGCCCAAGGAAAATAAATTTCGATTGTTGGTGTTCTCTTCTGGAGTTCCTACCTTTCTGTACCTTGAAATGTACATTTTCCACAACAGTGATGTTGAACTTCTGGTTAATTTCAGGAGCATTTTCATTTCAGGGAAACTCCACTAGTGACAACATCATACAGTTGTCTGTTTTGGGACTGTTATGCATGGTTTGTTTGTTTGGTTTTCTGTTACCATCCTGTTTAATTATCATAAACAGATGATTGTTCATCTCCACGATTTCTACACTGGCCACTAAGACATGCCTCTGGATTATTTTTGTTGATTATATGGAATCACCCATAAGCCACTGCAAATCCTAAACATAATTACCCTGTCCTAAAGTAGAAATTAACATAAAACATAGCTGTCAATTAAATTCAATAAAGATTTGGCCAAATTCCCTCTGATTTCATCCTACTTGGAATCTGAGGCAGTGATCGTTTACTCTGAAAACTGCCCAGCAGGTGTATGAATAGCAACTCCAAAAAATGCAGAGCCTTGACCATTTTAAAGAAGGCAACACCCCTGCTAAAAACATAACTGCTGAGTTCATCAAAGAAACCTCACCCAGTGCCTTGTGCTCCAAAAACCTGCGGAAAAGCGCAGTGTTCAGCTGAGCAAAGAAATACTCTTCCACTGTTTATTTTGGTTATTGTTTTTCATCCTTAACGAGAAGCAAATCAATTAACAGGACTTATGACACTGTAGTTAGTCACCTAAGGGAAAGTATTATTAGCCTCATTAACTTGGAGAATCCTTCCAGCTCACATCTAGAGTTAATCATCGTAGGGACCCACGACTAACCCTGCCAGGCAATCCTGTGACGTTCGGAAACCCCACCTCTTTGACCTAGGCCCGGGCAATACCCCGTGAGTAACCGCCGGTGCCCCAAGTCCACTCGCGCGGACAGGAAGCAGTTCCCGAAAAAGGCGAAGTGCGGGGGTGGGGGACGTCTGCCCGGCCCCACCCTTGAAAGTTGCAGGGAGTGGCACCCCACGAACTTTGGCAGATCGTTCCTTGTCGCCGCTCAGGGAGGTCGGCTCCAGCTTTCCCCGCCTGAGCCAATCTGCCCAGCCTGCCAAGCCCCTCCTTCCCTGCACCTTTAAGGGCTAGGAGAAGAGAGAGTCGGCTGAGGTTCCCTTCTTAAGAAGTCGCACCGGTTTTTCGAGCTCCGCTCTGCGCCCGGGGAGCCACGGCCGCGGGGAGCGGGCGCCGCCGAGTGAGTCACTGTTTGGAAATGGAGTGGGCGGGCAAGGGTGTGAGAGAATGAATGATGTCAGGAGCGCGCAGGCCGGCGGGCGGGGAGAGCGGGCCGCGGGGCCGCGGTAAACACGGAGCGCCGCGCAGCGGGCCGAGCGGGGAGACCCCGCCCTCGGCGCGCACGGAGCCTTCCTCGGCCGCCCGAGCCCGGGCGGTGCTGCAGCGCCGCCGAGAGCGGCCTCGGAGGCGGCAGCTGCGGGAGCGACCCGGAGAGCGGCTTGCCTGGTGGGGCCGAGGCGGGAGAGGGCTCGATCCCCGAGGAAACTTTCCAGGGGCTTCAGCCAGGGGCGGCTGCGGCAGGCAGCTCCGGCCCCTAGCGGACCCCGGCCCGGGAGCTAGTGCCTCGGGCTGGGAAGGTCTGGAGCCCCGGCTGAGCGGGTAAGGAGCACCGGAGGGGCCGGGGAGGAGGATGGGCTGGAGAGCGGCGCGGCACGGGGAAGGGAGGGTGGACTGCGAACGCGGACGTGGCTCTAATTCGGCCCCCAGTCGCCCCGCCCCAGGGCATCCTTCCTTGATTTTGCCTGGTAGAGGATGGACGTGTGTCTTCGCCTCCTTGCTCCGAGCGTTCTACTCATTCATTTGCAGTCATTGCGGGTAACTCGGTCCTGCTGGTGAAAGGACCCAGATTGAACCGTAGGTTGTCCAGAGCCACTCTGGAGGTCAGTGCTGAAGTTCCGGAGCTGGAGGAGGGACTGCCTTGAAGCTCTTTTGAGAGGCACTTACCGATGATGTGTGAACAGAAAGAGCCCAGATTTGGGCTCCCCGCACTGAAACCTTTCAACATTTGGCATTCCAGAGTTACTCCTTAGGAAAGGGAGGTCTGGTGTTTCAGCGCACGTAGGAGCGGACCTGCCTCCTACTTTGAGGTACGGATAGTTAATAGCCCGCGGCAATGCCTTAAAACAACTCTAATGTTAGGTTCTGTCATCTCTTTTTTATGTCAACCTTTACCATTCTGTTTCGTCTTGCTTGCTCTAATAAGACCATAAAATCGTTTCGACACGTATGTTAAATTTTTGAAGAGATTCAGTTGTTTAGTGTCTCTGGGTAGGCGTGGATTTTGAACTTTTCAAATCCTTGGTTTCACCCCTAGTCTCATCTATTATCGGTGGGTTCTCAGTTACGTGAAACACTCTGAACCAGCAAAATGGGACTGTAACTACTTCAGAGGATAATAATGAGGATTAAAGCTCAGAAGACCTGTCATGATGTCTGGCGTGAAGCCGACCTCAACAAATTTTGACTGTTTATGGATAAATAGTGTGTTCCAGCTGGCATAGGCAATCATCCATTAATTTCCACAAAATTTCCCACTTATAGACCTGGTGGGCTGAGGTTTAGCGTGTGAAATCCTTTGGCGGGCTCCTCAGAGTGTGGTGAGTCTTCAGGAAGTTAAATGGTTCCTTGTGGATACCTGGAAGATTCGGTGTGTGTGTGTGTTAGTGGACCAGTCGTGTCCCGCTCTTGACGACCCCATGGACTATATAACCTGCCAGACTCCTCGGTCCGTGGAATTCTCCAGGCAAAAATACTGGAGTGGGTAGCATTCCTTCCCTGCTCCAAGGGATCTTCCTGACCCAGGAATCGAACCCAGGTCTCCGGCATTGCAGGCGGTTTTCAGGAAGTTAAATGCTTCCTTGTGGATACCAGAAAGATTTGGGGTTCCCGCACGGTATTAGGGAAACTGTCGTTCACTCCTTAAACAGAGTCAGAGCAGTGGCTGAAAGTGACAAATGGAATTTGGAGTTAGCTTGGATGTGTGAAGAACTCTCTACTTTACCCTTAATTGTTTTTTTGTCTTAAAAAAATAATCAGTACAAAAATATAGTCCTTTCCTTCCTTGCTTTGCTGCTTGTCTCACTTCACAGTAGTCTGGTTGAAGTGTTTTTTTTTTTTTTTAACGAGTTAATGTTTAATTTGATTTCTCTAGTTTCATTTTTAAGTAGAGCTGGTTGACTTATGAACATGGAGTGAAACACTTGGACACCTTTGGGTTACTGCCTCTCGTCCTCGGTTTCTCTTTTCACAGAATTTTATAAAAGTCTCTAGGAAATATTTGGAGGGATAGGAGCTTTTGTTCAGGTGTTATATTAAAAACATTTGTTTTTACCATATCTACAACTTTTAGGGTCAAAGGTCACAGGGAATCCTCCCCGCCCCCCCAACCCGTGATGGGTAAAGATCTGGTCATCAGAATCCAGAAGACCTAAGGCTATGTGAGTGGTAACTTACTCGCTGTGTTACTTTGAGCAATTTACTTAAACTCTCGGGAATTCTTGTGGGACATTTAAACAAAATACAGGGAAAAAATAGAAATAATCTTACATCTATGAAAATTGACATTGGAATACAAATGAGAACTTTTTTTTCATGCTTAACCTTTATTCATTTCAAGAAGCTTTAAAAAGTTTGCAATTTATAACAATAGAAAACTTTTACGATTGGTATTTTGACATCAGATATAGGAAGCTATGTACTTACTCTTTGTTTTGTTGCTAAGCCATGTCCGACTCTTTGTGACCCCATGGACTGTAACCTGCCAGGCTTCTGTCCATAGGATTTCCCAGGCAAGAATACTGGAGTGGATCGCCATTTCCTTCTCCACAAATGAGAACTTTTTAGAGAAGTGATACTTTGAAGTGAGATGTTGTTTGTTTTCTTTTTAAAAAAGGAAGAATTGCTGAGACTTCTAGACAGTTTCAGACGAGAGTAGCCTACTCACTTTTATCCAATTCCCCTGAAGCCTCCATCCTGAACTACAATTATCAGGTATTTGTTCAGTTGGTGAATGTTTAGTGAGCAGCTGCTATATTCCAGCCACTGTGCTGGCTACTAGCAATGCTAAGATGAAGGAGGCACTGTAGCTGGCTTTCAGTCTGGTAGAAATAGCCCCTCAGCTTTGATTATGGAGAGGAAGAAAGAGTCAAAAAAGGAGAGAGGTAGGGAGGGAATTGGAAGGAAATCAGAAGTGACTAGGCCATGATAGGCTGTCTCCCACTGATAATTTGAGGTCCATTGCTATCTAAAGTATGCTGAATTGGGGCTTATAAGCTATGAGGCTGAACAATGTAAGTATGCTTTGCTTTACCCAGTAAAAATATTATAGACAAATTTAGACCTTAAATAATTTAAAACATATCAGAGCAGACTTGTTTAAATGAAATCTGAGGGGTAAAATCGGTTCAACCAAGATTTACTTACTGTGAGGAAAGAAAGCACTGTTTTAAATTTTAAGAGAATAATCACTGTGTGTGAATAGTATTTCAGTTTATTTTTCCTCATAAGTAGTATAGAACTAAAAAAAAAAAATAGTATGTTACTTGTGGAGGTTTAAAAGTACCAGGTAATCAAATCAGCCACCACCCAGAAAATTCTTAGTGTTATATTCTTAAATCCTTTCTCACCTGTATTGTGCTTACTTGGAGCCAGGCAATGTGCCAGTTAGTGCATACATTTAGGATCCCCTGTTATGCTCACCCCAGCCCTATGAGTTAGGTGTGATTATGGAGGAAAAGGCTGATTTAGAGAAATTAACTTTCCTAAAGTTACACAGCTAGAAAATTATTCTCTACGGAATTCTTTACATACTGTTTTCTAACTATTTTTTTAAATCCCCATCCAAATATGGATGCCTCTATATCACTAAAATATATGCTTAAACGACATCTTTTATAGTTTTCAGTTGAATGACTGCATCTCAAGCAGTCCCCTATTGTTGGACAGTTAAGTTTCTAGTTTTCACTATTTTAAACAGTTCTGCAGTAAATATTCTTCTGGCTGTATCTGTGTGCAACTCATGATTATTTTAGTCATTTTGCATTTTTAAAAGTGAATTTTGATCTTTAATTTATGTGCCCTTCCCCCCCCGCCACCATATTCAGGATTAGAAAACTTTCTCCTTTCTCTTTAAACTTTGTTTTAATTTCTATGTTCCTTTAGTGTTTCTCATAAGATTTCAGCAGTAGGATCAACATTCTCTGTGGAGCTGCACAATAGGTCCATAGCTCATTACACAAGGGATTTATCTGACGAAAATGGAACACAGAGGCTTTCTTAAAGAACTATTTGTGTTTTTATTATTGCTATTAGACAGAGAGCTGAACTTCTTTTATGGGGAAATATAGCAGAATGGAACAGTACTGACTTTGCCAGACAGAAAAGAATTTTTAAAAAACGTATTGACATATAGTTGATCAACAGTGTTGTGTTAATTTCTGCTGTACAGCAGAGTGACCAAGTTATACATATATATTCTTTTTCATATTCTTTTCCATTATGGTTTATCACAGTATATTGAATATAGGTTTCTGTGCTATATAGCAGGACCTTATTGTCTATCTGTCCTATATGTAATAAATTGCGCTGTTAATCCCAAACTCCTAATCCTTCCTTTCCCTACTCTCCCTCCTTCCGTGGCAACCACAAATCTGTAATTTATGTCTTTGAGTCTGTTTCTGTTTTGTAGATATGTTCGTTTGCATCTTGTTTTAGATTCTACATATAAGTGGTATCATGTGGTGTTTGTCTTTGTCTTTCTGACTTTTTTGCTTAGTATGATAATCTCTAGGTTCATCTCTGTTGCTGCATATAGTGTTATTTCATTCTTTTTATAGCTGAGTAATATTCCACTGTAAATATGTGTCACATCTTTAGCCATTCCATTTAGGTTGTTTCCATGTCTTGGCTGTTGTAAATAGTGCTGCTGTGAGTGTGTATCTCAGAAAAGAAATTCAGGTTCCACATGTATTTCAGAAAAGAAATTCTGCTTCTACAACTTACATCCTTGGTACTTAGTAAGATAGGCAGATTACGTTTTGCATATATTACATTAGGCAGATTTATCACCAGGTTTAGAATAAGCTCTTTCATTTTTAAATAGGTCATCTTTAATGAAAATCTTAGAGACTTCCCTGGTGGTCAAGTGGTTAAGACTCCCTGCTTCCAGTGCAGAGGGTACAAGTTTGATCCCTGTTTGGGGAGTTAAGATCCCACATGCTGTGTGGCCAAAAAAAGAAAATCCTAGACATTTGTTCTTTGATCTCTTAAAAAGTGTATCATTGCTAAGACATTTTCCAGTTGATTTAATCCAAGTGCCCCCCCAAAATCTATTAGCTAGCTTTTATTATAGGTATAAAGCATATGGTCATTTAAATATTTCTCAAGTTTTATTATAATATACTGTCTTTGCTACTCTCAGTCATGCTTTTTTCTTTTGGGTGTATGTTTCCATATCCAGCACACATTACCTTATCCTCATGATTTTGATAAAGGATGTTGGAAAATGAGTAGTATTCAATTCAGCCTTTTTATATAGAAACTCAGATCAGTTCAATTTATTAATTCCTAACAATAATTATTAACTCAAAGCAGAATTTAAA